AGAGTGTGCTCAAGTGTATGGTGGCTGGGCAGCTCTGAATATTCTTGGAAAAATCCAATTATCTAGACCCATTTCAATATGGTTTCAGGTTGGGATTTGGTACTAAACCTTCAAGTTGTTCTAACTTATGGCAACCCTATTTACTTGGCAAAACTTATTCAGAGAGGGTTTGCCTTTACCCTCCTCTGAGGTGAAGAAAGTGTGATTTGCCAAAGGTCACCCAGTGGGTTTCCATGGCCAGGCTGCTGCCCTCTTGATCTTTTTTGGATCTACTGATCACAATAACCTTTGTGAGATGGGAATGGGAGGCACTGTGTTATGGCAGTTCCTACCTACAGGGTCAATTCCAGTGAGTGGCACTGAATGATTTCTGTTCAGTTATTAAGCTGTGGGGTATAAGGGTACTGTTCTATCCTCTATGCTGTTGCATGTCTGTGTAAACCTACTAGTTCTGGTCATTTGGGCTTTGGAAGGTTGACTGTCACCAGTATGACACCCAGCTTTATTTCTAATAATAATAATAATAATAGTAATAATAATAATTTATTTCACCTTGTTGTCTGAGTCAGGTGATGCTGGACTGGTACGTGGATACTGTAGTGGGATAATAAACTGAAGTTGAATCCAATAAGACAGTGACTTTATGGATTAGTTTGCACATATTTGGAACTGCATAAGCAACCTGTCCTGAAGGAGGAAATGTTATCTTGGGAAATACTCTTGGACCCACCATTGTTACTGCAGTCGCTGGTGGATTCTATGGCTCAGAATCCCCAGGATTAGCCTCAGTTGGCCTGTTGGCTATGGCTTCTCCTGGATATTTATTTTATTTCATTTCACTTCTATGCTTCTTTTCTCCCAGAAAGAGACCGAAGGCAGATCGCAATATAAAATCATCTAGTTTAAAACAATATAAAATCAACATAAAACATACAAAATTTAAAACATAACTAAAAGTTGTACCCCATATAAAAACTATCCTCTCATGATTATATATTAAAAAGCCTGCCTAAATAAAAATGGTTTTGCTTGCTGGAAAAAGGAAAGCGGGGGGGGGACCAATCTAGCCTCCCAAAGAAGGGAGTTCCAGAGGGGGAAGCAGCCACTGAGAAGGCTCTCCCTCGTGTCCTTACCAAGTGAGCCTGTGATGGTGGCAGGACCAAGAGAAAGCTTTCCCCCTGAAGATCTTAGGGCTCTGGGAGGTTTGTATGGACCTAAGCCATGTAGGGCTCTATAGGTCATCACCAGTGCTTTGAACTGTGCCCAGAAATGAACTGGTGAAGCTATTTCAACAAGGGAGTTATATGCTCTCTATAACTGGTCCCAGTCAGCATTCTAGCTGTGACGTTTTCAACCCATTGAAGTTTCTGAACATATTCCAAAGGCAGCCCCATATGGAGTGTGTTACAGTAGTCCAAATAGGATGTAACCAAGGCATGTGTCACCATAGCCAGATCTGACACCTCAAGGAACGGGTGCAGCTGGCAGACTAGTTTTAGCTGTGCAAATGTGCTCCTGGTCACTGCTGAAACCTGCTCATCCAGGCTCAGAGTTGAGTCCAGGAGAAAGACAACTCAGCTACCAAAGGTCTTACACTGAAAAGTCCTGATTAGATTACTGCAATGTGCTGTACAAGAGGAAAATGACACAAGGCAATATTTGATGTTCCTGAGTGTTTCTTTATAGAAACCACATGACTCCATGGGGTGTGTGTCTCTGGGTCCTCCTTCCTTCTCCAACCTGAATTGGATGGGACCCATTGAGACCACTGTTATCTTAAGAATTCACTGCCATCACCCAATTATCAACTCCTCCCACATTAGCAACGCATTGGGATGTTGCTGGGGAATTCCACTGATAATTCCCTTGCAAATTCTAGGGAAGAACTGGGCCCCTAAACAGCCTGGGACCTTGATAGATAAAGGGTTGCATCTCCCTACACATACCTGCCTGTGCACTGAGAACTGCTGGATGGGCCTCCCCTTGTGTCCCACTAGTGGAAGAGTTATACTATGTGGAGTCACTGGAGACAACCCCAGTGGTTTTCAGGATAAGGGACATGGAAATGTGACATGAAAGCATTAAAAACCTAATTTATTCAGTAGCCATCAGTGCGCAAAGGTAGAGGTTGATCTGATTCACTTATCAGGAGCTCAGTCCCACCAGACAGAGTGTTGGGTGTCTGGATGCAGTTTTGTTCTGTTTCACACACAGTGTATTCCTCCTCCTGCTGTTGTCTTATATTTCGTGTTATTGTCTTGGATAGAAAATGCTTGTCATTTTCTTCTGAATCTGGAAAAAAACCCAAATATGAATGTATTGGTCTTTCAAAAAAAGTCAGAACCACACAAAGAGAATGACTGCTGGCACATCTTTCCTTCACCCCCCT